GATGTAGCAACGAACAGACGGCTCGAGTCTGGCTGGAACAGCAGCTGCTGTATAGACCCATCCGTAAGGGTCTTGAGTGAGACTTCGAATAGATGCTGCGCAACACTGCCACTGCCTGATGCATTCCTCCTGCTCATAACCATGACGAAAACCTTCTTGCCCGAGTCGGCAAAACATATGTAACGGCCATCGTCACTCCATGCCGCCTGTTCGATGCTCAAAAAGCCTTTGGAGGTATGCAGTTCTGTCGCCTCGACTTCTTTGGTGTTGCATAGCATTACGCGGCCGCTTTCAGTCCCGTAGCAGTAGTACTGACCGTTTGGCGAAGCTGCGAGCACGGTGATCGCATCTATCCTCCGGGATGTATGGACAGGCGTTATTGACTCTTGCGATGAGCTTTCCGACTCGCCTTCGGTATCCGTTCCTTTTATTGCACTCTCCGCATATCGCACCAATGCTGCAGGCTCCCAGGTGTTTCCGTAGTAGCCTCGCACGTCGTAGATGCGTCTGTGATCAGCGCTAAACGCCAAGCCAAGGATGGCGTCTTGAGATGCAAGTTGGTAGATTAGGTGGAAGGTGCTGGTGGTATATATCTTGATCGCACCCCGTACATCACCTGTTGCGAATAGGTTTCCGTCTCCGCTAACAGTGAGTATTGAAGCGCCTGTGAAGATCTCTTCGGGCTCACCTCCGTATGGATCCCACCTGAAGACTACCCCATCATTGTATAGTCCAAGAACTTGCGGAGAATGCGGGAGCCACTTTGCTGCAGCGACTTCGCCTCTCGCGACTTCTTTCCGGGCGCGCCAGCAGTGGCCAATATGATAAGGGCCTTCCAATTCCCACGCGGATAGTGGATGGCCACGGTATGCGACTGCCATCAAACTGCCGTCACCGCTAAGTGCCATGTAGCTTGCGGCATTCAAGAAGTGACCTTCGAGTTCCTCTTCCTCAAAATTCGCGACAAGATCCCAAGTCGGCGATGGCTCGTTGATTTCAAGTGAACGTAACTGCTTATCGTCTGACCCAACTAACAACGTTCTGTTGTTGTTCACAAAGGCGATGACAAGTGGACGCGATCTTGTCGCTGGGTTCGCCACTGTCGCTATGCAGTCTCCCGTAGAGATTACCCAGATCTTCTTAGTATTGTAGCCGTATGTGACGAGCAATGTCCCGGAAGAGTTCAGCTTCATCATGTATGTACGTTCACCGTGTCTGATGGGACTCGTCGCTGTCTCCTCAAAGAGGGAGGTGTCGAACAAAGACGCTTTTCCCGAGGCGGCCAGTACAGCGACATAATTTCCCGCAGTAGATATAAAGGAGGCATAGGTACCAAAGCCGAATGACAATCTTGCGAGAGAGTCGTCCCATGTCTGTGTCGAAATCCCGGAAACCATCAGACTCCTTTGCTCTGTTCTACCAAACTGCTGATAGATAGCTGAGTTATGCGGACAGAAAGGAGCAATGGTTTTGTGTATCGTAGGGGGGTTGCGTCGCAGGATGGCGCCAAACTTGCCAATGATTTTGACGAAGTCCACTGCCCAGGCTTCGGCCTGCTCCAGTTCCACAACGTCCCTCTTTCCGATGCTGGCTGGAAGCTGGGATTTCCTCTTGTTGACATAGCCGAGCAGATTCTTCGACGCCTGAATGAGTATGCGAAGTCGAAGTTCGGTTGCTAGGATATGTATCCACGTCAGTACATAATGGCCTGTCAGGAATTTGTTTATGACACTAGCCACGGCTTCACTGCCGGCTGGCACTGCTGCCAAATGGGATGACCACCAGTTCGAGCTGTAGCTTGCAAAATCTGGTATGCCATGATTAAGTTTTGGTCGAAGGCCGCTAGACATGAGATATCGCATGCAGCTTAAGAATAACTGCTCATGTGCCTGACGTCGATCTACTTGGAAAGGTCGGCGGTCGGCGCCAAGCAGATACTCTCGAGCCGTTTCATGAATCATCGCGACGTTGCCATCATTGTCAATGACCACAAACCCGCTACAGACATTCTTGATGGAATCTTGAATGTCTAGGAACTCATGTGCGTCACCTTCTAATGCCTGCAAGAGCTCCTCTATTGTGAGGGCGCGGAATGCACATGTGACACACTGAAGAACGGCTGACGCTAGAGCGGTGTCAGCAGATGATTGGTGCCCGGCGATGGTAACAGCCATCCGGTCGTAGATTGCTTCCATTCCGCGGGGAAACTCGTGAAAAGCTTGCTCGACGGCGGAGTGCGTATGACACGAGTTGATCTTCTCTACAGCAAGTCGTACCCACTGAGAGGTTAGCAAAATCATAGCATGGTACTGGATATCAAACTTACAAGAAAGTTGTCCTGCGCTTCATGCAAGATACGCTGTATGATGTCATCCCTGAAGCCCTTACTACCAGGCAAGATGAGTTCCCGGTCAATGTAGCAACGTAAGTCATCCACATGGCCCTCGATGGTGATCGTCTCTTGAAAGACTGTGTTTGGTGTATGCTCCAGACCAGCAGCTATCTCTGTAGTGTCGCGACTAACCAAAAGGGCTCGGATAGGTGTCGCAGAACCAGCAATGTCAGAGAGCAGGTCTATCAGGGCTTTGGGATTATCAGCTTCGTCAAGGCCATCGATGACCCAGTAAAGTGTTTTCCCAGGACTGAGCTTGAACAATATGGACCTGAATATCCGATCCCAGATCGTCCTCGGGTTTGAAGCCTCAAAGTCGACGGCTTCGCTTTCAACCTCCGCTACCTTTTGCAGAAATTCAGGTAACTGTTGCGCAATCTGATAGGCGATTGAGCGTAGGAGAAAGCTCAGAGTGCGCTTTCTTCTATCTGCGAACCGCACAAAGAAGTATTGACAGCAGAAATCGCGCTCGATCAGGCTGTTGATGATGAACGAACTTAAAACCGACTTTCCTCGTGCCGCGGCCCCCTTCAGCCAAAGTATTTGATGAGAGGATATGTGTGGATTAAGCCAATCCACGAAGCGTTGTTCTCCATGAATCCATTGGTTAGTCCCCTGCACCCATTGGTCCCGGAAGAAGATGTAGTCGGTGTTGGGGAACTCGGCGATAGCTAATATGGCTTTGAGATCCCTTGATCGTCTCCTTCTCGGTGCGCTCTGGCTTCCAGATTGACTCTTCGATATTGACTTGCTCACGAGTGATTTGAGAACGTTCCTCACTGTGATATAGTTCGGGTCGTGAGGGCTCTCATACTTGCAGACACCGTGGTGGTCTGCGTTCAGAGGGTTGGATGTCTCTCCAGGATATCCGAGCAGCGACGAATCTCTTTCTAGCACCATCTTCGCATGTTAGCAATGAAGCTAAAATTGTGTATAGTTCCAGTGGTTCACTTACCACTCGCGCACTTTTCAAACCGATCGAAGTCGGTTGTGTCTCGTAGAATGAAACGATCTTCAGCTTTGGTGCAATGTGACGAAACTGTTCATTCAGCTTCTGCAACGTAGACGAATTCCGCGTCAGCTCGGAAATGAAAGGCTTGGAATTCGTTACAGGAGTCGACTGTAATATTCGGTTGAGCACATTGGCCAAATTGGTGCCCCGATGTGGGGTGGAGAGGAAAATGATTGCTGAAATGGCTTTGACAATGTTCTCGTACTCTGGATCGTTTTGACCTTGCATATAGGCCTGTATAGTGTTAGTCAGATACGCCCAGATCGATGGATGGTGTTACCTCTTTCACGATGAGCCCACCCATGCTGTGAACTACGAAGAGCAAAGGTACCTAAAATGCGTTTTAGAAAAGGCCACGTTGTATGGAAAGGTGACCTCACTTGGCCCATATTCAGATTTTCGCCTTGTACATCTGTGTAATATTTGAGATTGTACAGTAGAGTTTTGGCGAAGTCCAGTATCACGTTAGTAGCATTACTGCCATTCGTGAAATCGGCATCGTAGCCGAAACTCAGAATTCTCGCTAGGCAGATATCCGGCTCGAGTGGCAGGAAGGTCAAGGGCCAGAAGAGTCCAGGGCTTTTGTGCTTCGACCAGGTCATACGGCTACTGCCACCAAGCCCATGGATAAAGACAATGTCGGCTTTATGTCCATTGTCTGGCGTGTATACCACGTTCAATCCTAAAGCTCCAGGGTCTTGGCCGCCAGTCAAAGCCATGTGAGTTGGGGACGCGGACATCTGGGACGGCGAAGGAGTTGTCGAGGATCGAACATCATCTTCCTGGTCTGGCAGGAGCAACGGGTCGACAACGCCTGATTCTCTCCGCCGGCTTCTCCCACCCAGATTACGGAACTTGAAGGGCTTCGAGAACTATACGATTATCAAGAGTGCGATCTGGATACTCGTTCAATAGCACTTACCATCCTGGGCAAAGGTTCTCGCGAACGGTTGCTCGACCATCTTTGGATACGCGACAGCCGTGCCTAGAGATACTTTGATTGCGTGGCGACATCTAAGCCTCATAATCCTGACCGGTCGTGTGTGGCATGAATCTTAGTCGCCGTTCAAGTTGGGGGCTGCATGCGGGGTAGTGTTCGGTCGTCTGGGAGTGCCAACCCAGCTAATCATAGTCGCGCAGCCCTGTCAATTAGGGCGCAGTCCTGGGGTCCATCTAATGGATGCCTGCAATGTGGCGTCACTCGGATATTTGGAAGGGAGGCGGATACATCGATGAGTATCAAGGGCGGGAGCGACGTCCCGCTCGTGGCTGCCGACCCGCAAATCATCTTGCGTGCGGTGAACACCGAAGCTGCTCCCGTGCCACCATCTCAGCATCCAACGTAAGCAGAAGATAACGTACCCGCATACGAGGCTTCCATCAGCTGTTCCCTCTGCTATTCGAGAGCCGACATATCATAAGTGCGGGTCCCCTACGCGTAGTCGCGTGCTAGTCTTTCATATTCGCCATGATGAATCCATTAGAATGGGAAACCGAAATAGGAGGGACGTTTCGCATTCACCGGGCTATAACCAGAGGTAGGCATTCCTGCAACCCCGACGTCAGATTTCGTACACTAAGCACTACGGGTTAGCTATGCCTGTCGGTACCAGGATCGTATCTGCAGAGCCTTGCGGTGTTTCTGCCTGGACGAAGACAGCAAAGATTGAAGTGATACTTCCGGACCAAAGCTCAAAGAGCTACTTCCTCAAAGTATGTCATGGTAGAGTAGAGGGTGTTTGTACTTGCTGACATATCGTTGCAACACACAGTGCGCCACCGGCCAAGGCTCAAAGGCTCTTGTCGAAGGCGAGTACGAATCTGCATGCGCTATCAACAAGATAGTCCCAGGTCTGGTTCCTCGAGCGACAGGATGGGGAAAGTATCTTGATGGTAGCACCCAGTTCTATTTCTTCATTGGGGACCACCACGACATGGACCTCGTGCCAGCCCCAGAGCCGGCAAGCCTTGTGGAGAGAGTTGCCAAAATGCACACCGAAGGGAAATCTCCGACTGGCATGTTTGGATTCCACGTGCCAACAGTGTGCGGCAAGTTCGTCCGGACGACAAAATGGGAGAAGACCTGGACGGCGTGTTTTACCAATCTGCTCAACGATGTGATCAAATATGACAACGAGACCAACGGTCATTGGCCAGAGTTCGATGCTGCCTGCAAGCAGGTAATCGCTGTCGTTATTCCAAGACTCCTAGGTGCTCTCCAGTCGGATGGTCGAAATATCGAGCCAGTGTTGATCCACGGTGATTTGTGGGAACAGAATGTTGGCATCGACATGGAAACTGGCGACACGATCCTGTTCGACCCCGGGTGTTTTTATGCCCATAATGAGATGGAGTTCGGCACCTGGAGAGCGTCTTGGGCCTGTCACTTCAATTCTCCGATATACATGCGATTGTATCAGCGCCATATCGAGCCGTCCGAGCCTGTAGATGAGTGGGACGATCGAAATCGACTATACAGTATCCATATATATCTGAACGATTCCGCAGGCCATCCAGGTAGTATTTCGAGAGCCACGTGAGTATTCATCTGGAGGAGTGTAGAATCGAGCTGATGAAACCCAGAGCTTACAACGACATGTTGTACTTGTGCGAGAAGTACGCACCGCTGGAGGGCCTAGGCACGTACCGTCCAGAGAATGACGTTAGCGTTACTGGCGCCTACATCGAGCACGAGACCACGAAGATGAGCCATCTCCATCATGCCGTAAAGACGTGATAATTGATATACTTGGGTCAACCCTGCGTCTGAGCGTACATCAATTCCGTTGGAGCTGGTGTCTTGGATGCGTTTCAATTGCGGGCATTATCAAGGCGTCGCCATCCTTGATGCGGCACCGATGTAGCAAGCCATCGCGGTAAAGAATGCTGTATCTCCCGGCTCGTCAAGGCTGAAATCTGGTTGTGCGGTGCTGGTGATGAGGGAAACGGCGCGTCCCTGCCCAAGTGAGCTCGACGCGTCCGAAGTGGGTACCTAGGTACGCGTCATGCGCTAGCCTCAGAAATCGGGGTGGCAGGCGCTGCCTAAGTGATGCTATCGGCTTATTTTGGCTATCGCGCTCGCGCCCGATGAATATTTCTACGGCTAAAATAGGCCTTGTGCTTTAGAATGTTGCATCGTGTTCCACTAAAGAGCAGTGCAAAGAATCTGAGGATTAATTACTGTTAAGCCACCCACGCATGACATAAGCCCGCACGCCAAAGCTACACACTATTGTTCTAGCCTACATACTCAAGTAACGAGGTCAAAACGGGCTGGAGTAGACGCAGTAGTTGTGGCACTATTGTTCAACCCCCAACTTTCCAGCATATTACGCACCCGTATATCCATTGTCCACAGCCTGATACCAGCTGCGACCTTCGCACAAGGCGTCTGTTCGTGTTACATCAACACGACTGAGCATCACCCAACCAAGCAAAAACATACATTCAGGAAGAAGAAAAAAGTTGCATAGAATTACATATCTCGACTACCAATTCCCAGCCCTAGACCCTACTGCCCCACAAAGAACAAGGCTAGAAAGTAACGAATCAAGACGTTGATGAAAAGTGACTGACTACCGGAGCGATCCCGCTTTTCTCAAAACGCCTTCAAGGAAAACAAAGCCACAAAAGGTCAAACGCCAGACCAAATAAGTGACATAGGAGATGCCAATGTTCCTAGCCGCCAATCAGTTCCAACAAACGAGACATTCCAAGTGCTAATACAGAGAGAGCTAGCTGTGCAGGCTCAATCAAGCCAAACGCTTCAATCGCAAAGGAAGGACAGCCACCTAGGCCTTAGCCTTCTTGGCAAGGTAGTATGTTAAGAGGTTCAAGTGCTGTTCCCTCGCGCCGGCAACAGCTTTCCAGAAGCCGCCATCTTCTTTTGCGCCGTCGGAACCGTTGATGCGTTCGTGGAGGGCGATGCAGAACTCGATGTCTGCTTTGCGCACGTCGGCGTCTTGGTCGTCCATGCAGCGTACGGCTAGTCTGCCTAGACGCGCAGTCTGTTCGGCGGACAGTGTGACGTTCTTGGCGCCGCTCATCTGCACGAGGGATGCGAGTGTGGTCAAGGCCATGGTTGTGGAGCGGGTCGACGCTTGGACCGGTTGGGAAGAGACTGAGGACTTGGAGTTTGGCGAGGATGTTGGCGTCGATGCGGGTGTGTCCTCGATCATCGCAAGGACGGTGTTGAGACAATCCAGAGTCTGTCCATACTTGACAATCTCATCTGCGGTCGCTTCGAGGTCGATAGCGATGTGAGATGTGCTTTCGTACTGTGCCTTCGTTTGCAGGATAGTGCGGAGGACGCGGGAGTAGTACTTCGAAGTCTCCTTGCGGTAGAGTGATAGCAACGCGCGAATTGTTGCTAGAGCCTGTACTTTTAGATTGACAGCTTTCATCTGAGGCGCCTTCAACTCGTGGACGGGTGCCTCAAGGAAATCCAGACATGCCAGTAATAGCCTGCCAAAGTTCTCGTCATTCGGCCCCCAGATTTCTTGGTTCGACTTGACCATGTCCTGCATGCGGCGGAACATGTGAGCTTCGACTGTGCGTCCTTCGATCTTTTTGATGCCGCTTGTGAGTAGCTGTCGGTTCTTCAGCACTTCAGCATCGTTCGTCTCGTAGCTTTGCGTGTGCAGGACACTTCCTGTGCTGTTCGTCTTGTGGTGGCCGCGAGGGCGCTCTTCGTTATCGTTGCCCATCATGACATCGCTTGTCATGCTTCCAGTACTTTGGCGGCGCTCGTTGCTCTTCTCGTTGATGGGAAGCTCCTCCAGGACCGGCTTTTCTGATACATTCTCGACACGTGTGTGCTCCTCGCCAACAAATGGATCCTCAAACACTTGCACTTCATCTCCGGCGTCGGTACCGCGAGTGCTTGGTCGATCTGGTGACCGCAGGCGTGGGCTGCGTGTCGAAGACCGTAGGCTAGCGCTGTCTAGGTGCCCCATAGACTTTGGACTTCTTAGCGCTGCAGCACGAGGGCTGGGTATTGGCAGTCGACCGATGGACTTTCTCGGCTTCGGTGGCGTGTCATGTGTGGATTGTGTCGTTGGTTTCGCAAGGTTAGGAATGACCATGGTAAAGTTGTCTTCATCTCCCACATCCACAGCCTCATCGTCTCCAGCTACACTTCCACCCAGACCATTCCTTTGTCGAAATGGTATAGTACCTGCGTCATGCTGGCTTTGTGATCGAACCCAAGGCTTCACCATCGATAGGTCCTCCTCTTTTGCTGGGCTCACAGCCGGGCTCTCGCGACGAGAGCTCGCACTAGGAGACTTGCCATGGGCAATGGGTTGGCCAATTCTTGATTTGGGCCGCGCCGGACTAACTTGCGGGCTGTTCTGTGTTTGCGCACGCGGCCTTGAGCTGCTCTTCGGTACAGCAGGCTTCTTGGTCGCCGTTGGAGCAGGTGTCTTCTCTGGGGTCATGTTGGGCGTGCTCTTCCCTGGTCGTCGGACAGCATATGGATCCGCGGTCGCTGGTCGGTTCAACTCTGGTCGGCGGACCGGACGACGGACTGTGCCCGACATCAAGGAGCCGGTACCTGTCGAGTTCTTCAGCGCTGACTTAGTTGACTCTCCGGACATGGCAGAGGGTGGTCGCGCCGGACCCGAAGAAGCCGTGGAGAGGTTCGACGTTGTTCTCGCGCCCAAAGACTTGGCCGATTGCGATGTTGGCACTGGTGTATAACTAGCAGCAGCAGAGTTGGGGCGTTCGGGGACACCTTTCGCGGCCGCTAGCTTTGCTCTCCTCTGTTCAGCAATCTTCTCCTTCAGGGCACTCCGCGAGGCACCCGGGCCTATTGATTTCGAAAACGAAGCTGCGCTTGTCGTGGACGAGGGGGCTGAGCCGTTCGGGTTGTTGGGGTCCTTTTCGAGTGCGGTCTTTTCTCGCTTGTCGAGCGTATCGAACATCCTGAATGCTGTGTTAGTGACTGACTATGCTTCTAGATGGTCAAACTTACTTCTCGGCCCTCTGAGGCCATACCAAAGCGTATGTCCAGTAGGCGCTTCGGTAGGCCTCGCGCACCTTGGGGTTAGCGTCCGTGACACCTCTCCGGATCAAGGTGTCCAATGTTTCCAGCCCTCCTGAGTGTTCGATGTGCGAGGTGTGCCTCTTGATCAGGGTCTTTGCCCAGGTCGCGGAGTGAGTTCGGGGTTGCACGTTCTTGTCTTGTGAGGCCATGGCTACGTGCTGCAATACGCGACTGTTGTACGACACACTCTGGAAAATGGTGTCTACTGTAACGGCTCCGTTCTGCGCTGCGATGTTCTTCGTAGCACCACACATCTTGATGAAGGATTGCAGAAGAATCTCAACCCAGGGGTCGATCGCAGAGCCGAGTGTCTTTGCAAGCTCTTGAACGAGCAGGCAGCCGTTGGTGGACATGGTTGTTCGGAGCGAGTTGGCGACTTTGAGGATGCCGTCTAGGAGCGATTTGATGCCGGCGATAAAAGTGGCGTGAAACTCATGGGGCGCGTTGCCCTTGAGTATACGTCTCAACTTTGTGCAGTTCTTATCTCTGGCCAGCCAATTGCCCTCGCTCTCCTTGCCTTCGTAGCAGGGCGCCATGTCGCGGAACACGTCGTCGAGCTCGCGCTGTGTGTAGATGTGTATGGGGTCCATGACGACAACCTCGACCGGGGGAGGCTGCTCATCCGCAAAGCTCTCTGCCAAGCCGACGTCGGGTTGCAGCGTCTGGGCGCGTTTGGATACGATGGGTCGGGCGACGGGGGCGGGTGGTTGGGCAGGCGCGACATCCACGCTCTTAGCCATGGCGTCGTCGTCGAGGTGGGAGGTGATGTAGGTGGCAATGGCTTTCCGGACATTCAGGGCCACGAGCTGCTTCTTAAGGTTGGCTTTGGCGTGTTCCGGAGCGTGTCTGTCGTGATGTCAGTTGCTACCATGGTGCAGCATATCCGCCAATGGACGTACCCAAAAAGCTCCACAACCGCCTTCTTCGCCGTGTCGCGCACGCCGGCATCCGCGTCTTCGCAGTTTGCCACGAGCTGGTTGGAGTAGCTCTTGAAAGGGAGCCCTTCGCTCTTGTTCATCTGTCGTCACCCAAGCGTTAGAACATTTTCGCGCCTGCCCGATGCGCTACGGGGGACCAACCTTGACCACCCACAACATGGCGGATTCTTTGGCGCGCGGGTTTGTGCTCTTGATGGCATCGTGTATCAGCGCGTCAATTTCCATGGAGCACAGGTAGTGCAGGTCGGCCAGAATCTGCGAGGCGGCGCTGCGGTGGCTTTCGCGCCCATCGCCCAACTTGTCGGCGAGGATGGAACATAGTATGGGCGACTGTGACGTAAGAATCGACGTCTCCTTCTGCAGTTGCAGGCGCTTGATGAAGTGGCTCAGCGTCGAGAAGCCCGTGGACACGAGCGCGGCCGAGGTGGCGGCGGTGCAGGCGATGCGGATGCACTCGAAGATAGGAGCCTGACAACTTTCAGGGACCCGGTTGTGCTTGATGCTCGACTTGAGCGTGCTGAACAGGGCCAGGCGCGACTGGACATCGGTCGACGGCTTCTGGAGTGCCTTGAGCAGGTCCGACGTCTCTTTCTCCATCGTGGGCGCAAATTGGCCCTTTGTCGCAAAATAATCCGGCAGCGGTAGAGGCGGGGTGGTTTGTATATGTTATGAGAGTTGTTTACGGCGGGCAGCCATCCCCGTTCACGCTAGACCAGTGTCCGAGCAACCGTGCGCTTTACATGCCGCACTGCC